TATGATAAAGTATTTAAACATAAGAAGCCCACTTAGATGTAGCTGCCAAATTCATACCGACAAATTCTGGTTTGGGTTTCTTAGCTGCTTAAACAAGGTCCCTTACAATCAAACTCTCGGTAGATGAATGTAGATAGGGCTATAATATCTGATATAAGCCCATGCAGCTCCAACTCACGAACTCAATGACCAATAAATGTCGGTGTTCTTCAAAACAAGGCTTTCATCCCCCCCACCAAACAGATGAACACGTGGGGGAGTTACTGAATTTATGGAATTTCTTTACAATCCCTGTCTCTGTATTGGCCCCATTCTGCGTCGGCTTCGAATATTTGTAGAAAAAATCGTCCTGTCTAACTGCAGGAACCTTTGAACTATATATTTACATATTTATTTTATTTGCGCTATTAAAACTTTCATATGCTAAAGATGCACTTTTGTAATTTCTTCTCGTTTTCAATTTGTATTAGACTAAACACAAAATAAAAACTTCCCTCGAAATATTATTATGACGTTACTGATCGGATTCTATTAGTGCGAACAATTACTTTTTATCAAGTATAAATCTATAAACAGGATTACATTTCTAGAATTTTTTATTAATTTCCCTTTAAAGCTCCTCTCTCTATTTCTTACATACCTACTTAGCAATCATTTTCTTGAAAGGTACAGAATTATTATTTCCGTTTAACAATCACAATACTTCTATTTTCCCACTTCCTTTTCTTCATAATATTACGAAAATTTATCGATTATACCGCATTAAATGTATGAAAAGGCTAATTTTAATCAGTGAGCTGCTTGCGTAGGTCAGAGTAGATATTAAATAATAGATTTTGTAACTCCTAATAAATATTTGGTTACGTCTCTTAGGTGTGCGATAATAAACTTCCGTTGAACGCATGTATAACAGAATGTAGAATTCTTGGTTAGGCTCGGTTTGGTTTGGTTAAATATGACAAAGCTAGCGAGAGCTATCTGCTAGTAAAAGAAGTGATGCATTCACGAAGATTAACAACATGCCCGATTTTTACGACTGTGTAAAAACGCGATCCCAAGAGCTGTGATTATTTTAATTTGCAGTAGTTTTTAAAGTTTTCTAAACTATATGAATATTTTTCTAAAAATATGATAGTGTTAGTGAAATATAAAGTTCATGCTTTATGTCATCTGTACGGATTCGAAATAACAAGTATAAAACATGCACGTGAAAATAAGCGCTAATACAACTACCGGGAGTTTTTATCATACGAAACTCTACCGATGTGTCTTTATCTATTTATTTACGGAGAAAATATCATTTAATTTTTTTCCTAGAAATCTACTGTCGTAATCTTTGAAAATCTCACACTCTAGTTCAAATGAATTTCATTAATGGAAAATTACTGTTTTCGACTTTTATTAAAAGTTTACAAGACTGGATTAAAGAAACGATGAAGATTTTAGTACTTAAGAAATTCTACGTAATCTTTCCTCACTTGAGTACAATGCACAGAATGTTCATACAACCATATCAAACTGTCAGAAAAGTTCTTGTTTGGGATGTTATTCAACTTGCGTGTGGCTGTAGCTTGAATGTCAGCTACTTCGGGATAGGGTTGACCCTTTCATGTGAAACCTGATTTTCGGAAGAAAAAAAAAAAAAAAAATCATTCTGCGCTAAATCAGGTGAATACGGTGATGGCTGAGAACTGGCACACTTTTTTTTTTTTTTTTTTTTTTTCGCTAGAAGTTTCGCCACACCTTCAGCCGTGTGAACAGGTACATTGTTGTGCAACAAGAAGAAATCCTTTCCCTTCCATCGTTTCAGACGAACCCGCTAGCATATAAGCATTCTGTACCGCGCCACGCTCATTGGGGAAAACCCCTCCTCGTGATTGGATGTGGCTTCCAATGACATCATTTCCTCTTCGCTTAGGAACGCCTTGATTTTCCTTGGGCTCGAGGTTACACATCCATACCCTTTTTTTATATTTTGTATATTTTTGATAGCAGTACCGAAAATGTTATTACGTGCATTATTTTTTTCTTACTATGAGATTACACTTCTTGCAACACTGTAGTGTGGGGGAATTTAATGTTAAAAATTTTATGATTTTTTTTAGTCAGAACAAGTATTATTTCTTCTTGTGCTAACTCCGTAAATTTGTATTAAGTGCAGAAATTTTTAATAAATGCATCTTAATTCAAAGCCCTTCATATTAAAGGTGTTGTGATTATTAATTCATTATTTTCATGTTCATTATATATCTACTCTCTGCTAATCTCCAAAAGCATGAGACAAGTCAGTTTTAGGAAATAGCAAAAACAACTTCGGGAGCTAACATAGTACACAGTAAATTCACAATATTTATAATCAGACTGAAAAAGAGAAATTTATTTTCGAAGTTAGACTAACACAGATTTGGAACAGAGAAATAGATATACTTATTTTAAATTGAATAATATTGCTTTACGAATATTGCCCATTTTTTAATGCGTAGCATTTTTTATACCGTTGTATAAAAGTATTATTTGTCAGAGAAGGAAGTTTCTTTTCTTATACAAGTGTATTACATTCAGTGACAATACTGAATGCGCGTTTTTCTTTCATTTAAGGCAACCGAATATTAGAATGACATGTATAACATTTGCAAAGGAAATATTTTCTGCAATGTGAGTAAGGCAGACTACAATAAAATTGCAATAATAATAGACTTACTAGCACACAATGCTTTTACAGTTGGATCGAGATCGTCGTGTTTTGTTTTTTGCACTAAATTCATGAACTCAGCTACTTATATAATCAACGCGAACGCGCTTAAGATTGCTTCTGATATTAACAGATTTTTGAAAGGTTTTATAATTTTATTATTCCTGAAACAGGAAGCCATTTGCAGAACGCTGCAGCTAAATTGTTTCGTTTCACAGATTAAAAAATAAATAAATAAATAATTCTCACTCTTCCCTGTCACTGAAGCGTGTCATTCAACGGAAACAAAACTGTAAGAATCCCCCTAAACGTCATTACCCCAAGAAAAAATGATGTCATCTGAAAGTATGTTCAATCACAAGTACGGAATTTTCCCTATGTGCGTGGCGCGGTATAGAATGCTTGTATGCAACCCGCTAACTCCTCTTGGACACCCGGACCATGACACCAGGAAACCATTCCCAGTATTATCCCAGTTACGATTCTCATTTATGGTTTATATTTCAAGAAGAAAATCTGATTCGGAACTTTTCGAACGAATGGTTTATTTTCCAGATCTAGAGATATTATCTTCTGGAATGAATTACCATCTAGGAAACCATAGATTCATCATACTTTCATACCTGAAAATCTTTTACTTCCATTTAAAATAATTACTTTTAACTATTAATTGTTATTTCAGTAAATTACCATCGAACATTAGACATTCACAGATAAATTCCCTTCCTGAAATGTTATTACAAACGCTAAGGGATTATAATTCATAAATTCTTGTCTTATCTATAAATAAATAGCATTGCAAACAATTTGTTATTAGCTGAACAGTCAATTAATCCCTGGCGTGTTTTTGCTGGACCTGAAATTTATTACTCTATTTATATGCTGCCTACTGCTTTTATTGTTGACTAATTAGTAAAATGATGGCAGAAACACGTTGCCATGGTATGCCATGGTGATGAAGCAGAGTAGCTTGATCACTGTGAAGCTTCGATCAAATTTCATTTATTTTGGAGAGAGCATCTATCCATTATAGAAAGAGATATATCAGAGCAATAGCAGCTAAGAAGTTTCCCGCGAATGTTCTGAAATTCTTTTTATTCTGGGCTGTGTATCATACTAATTTTATTCAATAAATCTTATCCAATTTTCTAAAGCAGCAAGACATCAAGAAGAAGCTAATTTATTTAAACTGTGTTTGCAAAAGAATACTTTGCCAAATATAAGTGTAAACTTCATTAAGTTATGCATATCATACTGAAAAGAATAATATTTTAAGCTTTTTACTACTTTTAGAAAGTTTCCTAACCGAAAAAAGGGAAATAACTATACAAAAGAAGAGTTAGCATCCGACATTAAAATTCATTGTTATTCATTGATAAATAATTTCAACATGAATTTTCCTGAAGATTATGAAAAAGAAGATTGGATTAAAAATCCATTTTGTTTAAATGTACCTGAAAATTTTTATTGTGAACAAAACATGTGATAGAAATTTCCCGTGATCGAACTCTTAACTGAAGATTTCAAAAATAACGCACGTGTTAACTTTTGGCTGAACCAAAAAAAACAATTTAAAGGCATTTGAAATAAAGCTATTACATTTTTATTGCCTTTTTGCACAACGTGTTTCTGTGAACAAGGATTTTCTTCCATGCTATATTTGAAAAATAAATACAGAAAAAAATTAATTGTGGATTCTAATTTACGGTTAAAACTAAGCGAAATAAGACCAGACATTGAAATTGATCTCTTTCTCAAACAGACCCAAATTTCACACTAAATTTTAGAATTAAAGTATTATAACTTAAAACCAATTTTTAATCTAACATTTTTATGTGTGTATATTTAATACAGATAGCCAATAGGTTGTAATAATTGCAAAATATATTTTTATTAATATCTCTATTGAGAAATTGAAAATTAATCATTGTAAAATGTAGTAAAAGTGCTATTGTTCAATTTTTGTTTTGATGGTACGCATTAGTCAAAACGTTGAGAACCGCTGCACTAAAGGGAGCAATCAGGACATGACGTTAGCGTCGATGTTGAAGAAGTGTGGGGGAAGGTAAAACCTCGCAAGTACCAAAAGCTAGGCATTTGGAAAAAAATGAATTGTGACAATTGCTAAAATATGGGGAAAAGTCATCTAAAATATTATTAAAACCATAAAACTTAAGAATGTATATATTATTTTAGAAATCAAGGCTTGTTCGCATATTATAATTAAGATGTCATTTCCAAAAATTAAAGAAATTTAAATTTTGGTGACATTACTTTTCATACCACATTTCTCAATTTTTCTTTGCAGTGCACAAGAAGTCTTCACGTGGTTGTTTGAAGTGGAAGAAGGAGCTACTTATAATGACAATGGGCGCATAACATGGCAATTAAGATACATGCTTGACTCAAATATGGCGGAACAGTATGATTTTGATGATGATAATGCTAAAATTACTTCACGATTGGACATTCATAAAGATGATGTACAAGCTGTTTTACCTATTGCAAAAGTATGTTTAAAGATTCAGTAATTCGAATTTACTGTTCGTTATTGTTAAGAATGTTTTGCTATTCAATCATAAGTTATCATCATCATGCAGATAAGCAAATTTAAAAAGAGAAACGAATGGGAAAAGAAATAATTTCTAAAATTAACATTACTTTAGTGTTCAGTGATTATTATATGAACGATTATATTGTTGAACTAAACAAAAGAAGAATTCCTTAGTTCTCTGTAATTCCCTTCCCCACACACACATACACACACAACTTTAGAGGAGATACATTTTTAAATATTGAAATTTTAAAGAAATTCCGAAAAATGTAATATAATATATAAACTATAAAATTAAGCAAATTTAACTTTAAAATAAAATCCTGGAGAAAACGTCTATAAACTTATAAAACAAAAAAGAATATAAATTGCGCGGCTTATTTCATTGCAAAATAATTTTTAATGCTAGTTAATCTCTACACTATAATGTTTTATACAGTACGCTGGGATGAAAAATGAAGATTAATAAAATGAAACTAGTTCTAAATCTAAAATCTACCTTACAAACATCTGATTTGTACACCACGTGACTTCCTTGTATGAAATGCTAAATTATACGCACATTTTTCCTGCGTTTCATTTAAACTCACTTCCTCGAATTTCATTAGAAATATATTTCTCATTCAATTAACTCAGTTCTCACTTCACAACAAGGCAAAAATACATAAAAATTCAAAGTATCTATATTAAAAATTGAAAGATACAGAAAAAAATAAAACACCAAATACAGTTAAAACAATTAAAAACAATTTTTTTTACAATTAAAATTACAGTTTCTACGCAAAAACAAGCAATTCGGCCATCGAACCAGAAGGCAGAATTTTCGGTGAACAAAACTGAAAGTTTACTTTTAGTCTCACTCAATTCTACAACTATAAAATAGCATAAAAACTTAACCCGAAGGCTTAAAAACCTTAACCGGAAGATAAAAACAACATAATTCAATCATTTTTAAAGAGAAAAATGCACAATTTACAAACATGTAAGAAAAGAAACTGAGCTCACTGACCCAACTAACAGAGTGTATATTTATATATACATATATTTATATATTTTTGGTGCGGCTGATCGCAACCAAAAAGGGAGGTGCACATCTACATGTTATAGCTGTCCCACATACTTACTTATCTCAGTTGAATTGCTGTATCGCCAGTTATATGACTATCAGCATTTGTAATCAATTGGTGGAGCATTCTAATGTGGCTAGGCCTAGCCAAAAATCTAACTTAAAAGTTTTAGTCTAGTTTAACTTAACTTAAAACTCTCATAGACTGCCTAACAAAGAACTGCGAAAATATAAAAACAATCTAAAAAGAAATCATTCAGCATAGTCAAAGTCTTAAATGATCTCTTTACTAATCACAGGTCACAAATACCCGTCCTCGGAAGTAACATTATAAATTCCACTACAAATTTTAATATTTTACTAGCGGGCTGAAGCCCGCTTATCATTGTTCGTTTTTAAAAGAATTCCCATGTTCAAATTCGCCTACATTCGAAAGTTGGACCGAACTACCAGTTTCCGGAGATTTTAACCGGTTTATTCCCGTATGCCTCCATACGGTACTGCATACACCTTACACATGCGGAAAATCATGAAAACATACATGGAGGCAACCCGTTCGCCGGGATCGAAACTTGGAGCGAACTACCAGTGTTCAGCGGTTTTGCGCTTCTTGCGCGCGCTTTATTCACATATGATCCTGAAGACATGCATAGACGATACACATGCGGAAATCACGAATCTCTCATGCATGCAGCCAGCCCGCTCGCCGGAATTCGAAAGTTGGACCGAACTACCAGTGTTCAGCGGTTTTTTGCGGGCCGCGCCGCTTTGGTTACATATGCATTCAGAAGATACCTGTTCTCGATACACATGCGCAAAATCACCGAAAAAACCCATGGAGCCAGCCCGTACGATTGGATTAGAAATTTGATCCGAACTACCAGTGTTCTCCACCCACTTTATTCACGTATGCATCCACAAGATACTCATAAACGTTACCATCCGGAAATCACGAAAACATTCATACAGCAGCCCATATTCGCTGGTATATTCGAAAGTTGACCATACTACCAGTGTTCAACGGTTTTGTGCGGGCTGCGTCTGTCTTATTCATAAATGCTTCCATGAGGTACTGCATACACATTACACATGCGTAAAATCACGTGAACACCTATGGTGCCGGCCTGTTCGTCTGGATTCGAAAATTGGACTGAACTGCCAGTGTTCAGAGGTTTTAGGCGGGCTGCGCCCGCTTTATTCGCTTATGCATACAGGAGATACCGCATACACAATACACATGAGTAAAATCATGAAAAAATGTAGGGAGTATGCCGTTTCAGCGGGATCCAAAGTTGGAGACCTACCAGTGTACATCGATTTTACCTGGGCAGCGCCGCTTTATTAACATATGCATGCATAAGATACTGCATACACGTTACACATGCAGAAAATCAAAACTCATGCACCCAGCCCGTGTTCGCCGGTATTCCAAAGTTGGACCAAACTACCAGTGTTCACCTGTTTTGATCGGGCGCGCCGCTTATTCACGTATGCATCCAGAAGATACTGCATACAATATACACACCGGAAATCACGAAAAAACCCATGCAGCCAGCCGTTCGCGGGATTTGAAACTGACCTAACACCAGTGTTTAGTGACTTTACCCGTTCAGCCGCTAAATGGGCCGTTGTTAGAACTAACCGCTTAATTTCGCATTTATTATTCAAAAGTAGATTCGTTATTAAAATCTTTTTTTTTTATAACTTCAATATGATCACACCAAAACTGTATCATATTAATAATGCAATAAAGAATTCATATTAATTATAATAAGAAAGTTTTCATATACCATCTCCAAGGAAAACATATTCATATCATCAATGATCATTTTTAGTGAAAATTTAATCTAGTATTTTAAATAGTAATTTCAACTTTTTGTTTAAATATCTGCATAGAAAATGTTTAATCTAAAAAAATCTAGTAATTTTAACTTCTTGTTTAAATATCTACATAGAAAATGTTTAATCTAAAAAAAAAATCAAAAATAAATTTTAAACATTGAAAACAAAAAGATATTTTCATTTATTGCAGATTAATCCACTTATCAATGGGATAAACTAACCTGCAATCAATTCGCAACAACTAAATGAAGAGACAGTTTCTATTATGTTTATTTTACCACACACAAAATTGAAATTGTATAAACCGTGAATGTAATTTAAAGGAACATAACAGAAAAATACAACACGAAGAATAGATCTTTAAAAAAAATAGGAAGCAATCATTAAACATATCGCAACAATTAAATGGTTATACTTGTTTCAAGTATAAGTTAATTAGAAGCAGAATTAATTCAAATATTCTCACGTGTAAGGGAACTTTGACCTTTCGCAACACTCGGAGCGGATGCGCTGTTTCTCCCCCCCCCCGCTTCCGAAAAGCAATTTTATCTCGCTAATTCCGAGACGTGCCACTCCGAAAAATGAAATAAAGTTTTCGCAGTTTTTAATTAATAACTCCGCCGATTATTGTCGTACGAAGATGGGACCGGTATCGATGGATTCGTTGATTTTTTTCGAATACCGGGATATGCGTTTCGAAACGCAACTCGTCGCCGTTCCCGAGTTATTCGAGAAAAACGAATTTGGCACTCGGCCAAATCCCTAAAATAGGGGAAACCCGTGAAAAAAGTGCAAAACGTAGGGAAACGTAGGGAGAAAATCAGTTTTTAATTAATATCTCGGCTAATTAAAGTCGCACGAAGATGCCGATGGTCAATATGGCGAGCCACGGGAATTCCGAATCCAACGGTACCTTCCGCTAAGCTCTACACCCAGCCGTTCCGGAGGAGATGATGTTACAAACAAACAAACAAACAAACACACAGACGCGCACAGATTTTAATAGTATAGACTAGCGGGCAAGCCCGCCAGCTGAGCGGGCTGAAGCCCGCTTATCATTGTTCGTTTTTAAAAGATATCCTATGTTAAATTTGGCCGGTATTGAAAAGTTGAACCGAACTACCATTTTTTAGCGGCATTCCGCGGGCTTCCCCCGCTTTTTTCACCTATGCATCCAGAAGTTACCGCATACACTATACATATGCGGAAAATCACGAAAACACCCATGCTTCCAGCCCTTTCGCGGGTATTCGAAATTTGGACCGAAATACCAGTGTTCAGCGCTTTTGGGCGGGAGCCCCCCCCAAAACAGTGTTCACGTGTGCATGCAAAAGATACTGCGTACACCGTACACATGCGTAAAATCACGAAAACACCCCTCCAGCCAGCCCGCTGCCGATTCGAAAGTTGGACCGAAATACAATTTTTCAGCGATTTTGCGCGTGCTGTGCCCGCTTTATTCACGTATGCATGCTGAAGATGGTGCATAAACGATACACATGCGTAAAATCACGAAAACAAACATGGAGCCTGCCTGTTCGCCGGTATTCGAAAGTTGGACCGAATTACCAGTGTTATGTGGCTTTGCGCGGGCTCTGCCCGCTTTATTCACATATACACCCAGAAGATACTCCATACACTATACACATGCGTAAAATCACGAAAACACCCATGGAGCCAGCCAGTTCGTCGGGATTCGAAATTACCGCATTACCGCATTACCAGTATTCTGTGCCCGCTTTATTCACGTATGCATCCATGAGATACTTTATAAACGATACACATGCGAACAATCACGAAAACACCCATGCAGCCAGCCCGCTCGCCGAGATTCGAAAGTTTGAGCGAACTACCAGTGTTCAGCGGTTTTACCCGGTATCCGCGCGCTGTATTCACGTATGCATCCAAATTTTATATACAGTACCCCGGAATTCGAAAGTAGGACCGAAATACCAGTGTTCAGCGATTTTGTGGAGCGGGCTGCGCCCGCTTTATACACATAAGCATGGAGAGGATACTGCATAAACGATACACATGAGTTAAAGCAAGAAAACACCCGGGGAGCCAGCTCGTTCGCCGACACCGAAAAGTTGGATCGAACTACCAGCGTTAAGAGGTTTTGAGCAGGCTGCGCCCACTTTTATCACATATGCATCCAGAAATCACTTTATACACTATACACATGCGGAAAATCAGGAAAACACCCATGCAGCCAGCCCGCTCGCAGAGATTCGAATGTTTAACCGAACTAC